CTTGGCTCATATTTTATGTTGTATGGATTCCTATCAAAGCACGAGATACCAGTGTGTTCTAAAAGCACGTTGATCCAGGTAAAGTGAAAAATATCTTTGAATGTAATTTCTTCCTGTAGCAGAAATTGGTAGATGTGATCAACAGAGAGGATAGATATGAGGACCCATGGAAAGCAGAATGGCAAAATCATTACGAACACAGACACTGGAGCTAAACTTGTTGGCTCAGCCACATCCTCCATTATGTGACCTTGTATATCTCTTTATGCTTCAGTTTCCTTGGTCTTAAATGGGAATATCAGTAGTAGGTTGTTTCCATCTTTTTGCTATTGTGAATAGTGCTGCAGTGGACAGAGATGTGCATATGTCTTTTTGCGTCATTTCTATTAGATCCCTAAGTTATATACCCAGGAGTGGAGCCTGTAAAATATTTTATTCTGATGTCTTATTGTATTTTCTCCCAGGTATGGCAGCAGCCAAACTTCTCCACGAGTCTGGCTTGAATGTGGTTGTTCTGGAAGCCCGGGACCGTGTAGGAGGCAGGACCTATACTATTAGGGTAAGACTTTAAGAATGGGGTGAAGAAAAGTGGGACCAAAGCTGTTTTTTTTTTTCCCCCTTGAAAGTATTGACTTTCATTTGACTCTTTCTGAGAGGGTAAAAATTACTTCAAAACATACTCTATAGCCTCTCTACCAATTAGTCTCCTTTTAAACTCTTTCTTCTGTCACTTTTCTCATCTCACCTCATGATAATTGCCACCATAGTGTGTGTGGGGGTAATGTAGGCAGTTATGTGTGTATATGATAGAAAGAAAAAAGTATCAAACTTATTTGTACTTCCCATTCTTAACTTCAAACTTAATACGAACACAATCATTCTAACCAACCATACTAAACAAACTTTTACCTGACTAATTTTCCTTCTATCTCTTTCTTTCAACTTGTTGTCATATTTTTAAAATTATTTTATTTTAATAGCAAGTCATTTGTTTCAATTCTGACACTATTGACTAAAATTAATTATTTTCCATTCTATTGAACATAAAATCTAGTAAAGCAGATTTCTCAGCAAAGAAATTCCCTGTGTAGTAGTTAAGGGTATATGTCAACTTGGCTGGGCCTGGTTTAGAGTGGCTGGGTAGCTGGATGTAGTTATTCCCCCATGATGAGACTGGTAATCAACTCCATGGTGGAATCTGCTGTGAGCAGCTGCATAGCTGTCTTAGGAATGTGGTCTGCTTCCAGTATGTAAGAAGACACTTTGAAAAGGTTTTGATCTTTTGGGGCCATCTGGATCCTGCCTTTGGCTGAATCATTAGTGGTCTGCCATATTGTCTGCCAATCTTGGTACTGTTTCTGGACTCGGAAGTCATGCTTGCTGTGTTGCTTGCTAATCTTGGGACTACATCATTTTACTTATAGACCCTGGGTTTGTCAGCCTTAGAAAGCAGAAGCTGCTTGAGTTAAGAGACACCTCCAGCTCCACTGGGCTGGGAGCAAGAGGCAGAGCTGAAGCCAAAGAGCTGACATTTTGAACTTGGACTTCTAGCCTCCTAAATTATAAGAGAATAAATCTTGTTTGCTAAAGCCATCTATTTGTGATATTTCTGTTATAGTAGCACTAGATAACCAAAACACCCTATTTCCAGATATTCAAAATTTGAATAATAGAATTATATGCTAAAAGGGTAGTTTCATTCCCAGAGAGATGAGAAATGAAAAATCCTGATTTACAGCTTGCCTTTTGGAAGGATTCTTCAATGATATATGTCTAGCATTTTTCATCCATTCTTTTAGTCCTTTCCTGTACAATTGAATTTGTTCACAACCAAAACCTATTGAGTGCCTACTATGTATCAAGCTTATTGATCACCAAACCATGGCCTTGCCCAAGGAGCTCGTAGTCTCCTAGGGGATACCGACTTACTCACAATTACAATTTTAATTATAGTTACAGCTCAACAAGAGATATGGTACAGTGGGGGTAAGTGCCCAGCTGGGGTGGTGCCATAGGAGATATGGGAGAGCACCTCCCTCAGTCTTGGGAACCAGAAGACTTTCTGCCTGAAAGCCTTATTGGCCATTGACCCTGACATAAACCTGGTGCTCTAGTTTTTTGTGATTCCATAGAGTTCTCCAAACTTGCCCTAGCCCTCCTGTCTCTGGGCCATTGTTTATGCTATTCAAACCAAAACTAAACCTGTTGCTATTGAGTAGATTCCAACTCATGGCCACCTCATGTGTTACAGAGTTTCCTTGGCTATAATCTTTACAGAAGCAGATTACCGGGCCTTTCTTCCATGGAGCTGCTGGGTGGAGTCAAACTGACAACCTTTAGTTAGCAGCCAGTTGCGAACCACTTGCCCGGCATAAGGATCTTGTTTATGCCATTACTGGCCCCTAAAATAACTCTTTTTCCATTGTCACATGGCAAAAACATGTCCATCTTCCAAATCCTAGTTCACATCCCTCCAGGATATCATCCCTTCTATTCCTGTCAGAAGCTATTTGCCCTTCTTCTGTATTAAAACCACTTATCATTTTCATGCAATAATTGTCGTGTGTGTGGAACTGATAAGGAGCTCTGGTGGCACAGTACCTAAGGCATTTGGCTGCTAGCCAGAAGGTTGGCAATTCAAACCCACCAGCTGCTCCACAGAAGGAAGATGAGTCAATCTAGTTTCATAAAGATTTACCATCTTGGAAACCCAATGGAGGTCTCTATGAGTTGGAATAGACTCAATGGCAGTGGGTTTGAGTGGCTTGTTTTGTGTGTGTGTGTGAAAATGATTGTTGTTGTTTTTGTTGTTAAGTGCCGTTGAGTCGGACCCGACTCATAGCGACCCCTCCTTGGGTTTCCGAGGCGGTATCACTACGGAAGTAGAATGTTGCCTTATAAGTTCTTACCTGTGTACATCTTGCTTCTTCTAGGTCTTGAAGTCTTCATATACCTCCAACATTTGGTACATAAGAGTATCTTGTACATAAGTAAGACTCATTTAATATGACACTCTTATTTCATTTATTCAGCAAATTCTATTGGGGATCTACTATGTTGTTATTGTTATATGCCGTTGAGTCGGACCTGACTCATAGTGACCCCTCCTTGGGTTTCTGAGGCAATATCACTACGGAAGTAGATTGCCCCATCTTCCTTCTGAGGAGTGGCTGGTGGGTTTGAACCGCCAGCTTTCTGATTAGCAGCCAAATGCCTTAGGCACTACGCCATCAGAGCTCCTGGGGATCTACTATAGGTATTTGGAATACATCATTGTATTAGTTTTCTAGAGCTGTTATAACCATAAACTGGGAGGTTTATAAGAACAGAATTTTTTGTCTCACAGTTCTGGAGTCTGGAAGTCCAAATCAATGTGTTAACTGGGCTATGATCCCTCTGAGTTTCTAGGAGAAGATTCTTTCTTTTATCTTCTTGTTTCTGGTTGCCCCAGGCATTCCTTGGCTTGTAGGATGCATCTCCACATGATCATCCTTTCTCTCTCTTTTACTCTCTACGTCTCTTCTCTTTTATATGGGCACCACTCAGATTCCAAACAAAGTCACATTCACAGGTACCAAGGATTAGTACTTCAACATATCTTTTTAGGGGGCAAAATTCATTCTATAACAATCAGTGAACAAAGATCTCTGCTTCTGACACATCTATTGTTGTTGTTGTTATTATAGCTGTTACTGGCTTAAAACAACAGAAATTTACTGTCTCACAATTCTGGAAGCTAGAAATCTGAATTTAATGTATTGGCAGGGTTTTTCCTTCTCTGAAGGGTCTAGGGGAAAATCTTTTCTTATCCATTCCAGCTTCTGGTAGCCAAGGTATCCCTGGGCTTTTGGCCACTGCACTCCAATCTCTTCCTTCATCTTCATATGACCATTTTCCTTCTGGGTCTGGGGCTGTGTCTCTTCTCCTCTTCTAATAAAGACACTAGCCATATTGGATTAGGGCATATTCTACTCCAGTATGACTTCATCTTAACTACGTCTACAAAGACACTATTTAAAAACAAAGTCACACTCACAAGTCTTCAACATATATTTTTGGAGTACAGAATTAAATTCATATGTATGTTATTTTGGGATGGGGAGCTAGACACTAAATGAAGAAACAAAAGCAAAAAAAGAGGGCCTTCTCTTGTGTCATTGACAAAGAAGCACTTGGTTTTGCTTAGGCACACTCAGAGATAGACAGCTTTTCTACTAACTTCTTGGTCAAAGGATGCTCCCTAGTCACTAAAGGTGAAGCTGATTCAAAAACATAAAGAACAAATTATATTAAACATAAGAGTAATTTCAAAGATCCAAATTATGAGCAAATATGCCCTAATGCTAACTTTCAAATGTCTGGATAGCAAACCACATAATAAATGATAATTTCCTTTCTTTCATTTTCTCTGACATTGTTGTGTGCTTTCCAGTCAATTCTAACTCATGGCAACCCTATCTGACAGAGTAGAACAGCCCCCATAGGATTTACAAGGCTGGGAGCTCTGGTGGCACAGTGCCTAAGGCATTTGACTGCTAACCAGAAAGCTGGCAGTTCAAACACACCAGCCACTCCTTGGAAGGAAGATTGGGTGATCTGCTTCTATAGAGATACTGCCTCGAAAACTCAAGGAGAGGTCGCTATGAGTCGAATCCGACTCGACAGCAGTGAGTTGTTTAATCTTTATAGAAGTTAACTGCCACATCTTCCACCCTTGAATCATCTTGTGAATTAGAACTACCTACCTTTTGGGAGCTCTGGTAGCATAGTGGCTAAGACACTTGCCTGCTAACCAGACGGCTGGCGGTTCAAACCCACCAGCCACTCATCGGAAGGAAGGTTGGGCAATCCTACTTCTGTAGTGATACTGCCTCGGAAACCCAAGGAGGGGTCGCTATGAGTCGGGGCCGACTCGACGGCACATAACAACAACAACAACAACCTTTTGGTTAGTAGCCAAACACTTAACCACTGAGCCACTAGGACTCCCTCCTCTAGCATTGTCGTTGTTGTGTGCCATCGAGTTGGACCTGACTCATAGCGACCCCTCCTTGGGCTTCTGAGGCAGTATCTCTATGGAAGTAGATTGCCCAACCTTCCTTTTGAGGAGTGGCTGGTGGGTTTGAACTGCCAGCCTTCTGGTTAGCTGCCTCAAAATTAGCCTGAGGTACTGAGTAAAGAAAAATTCTTCAACAACTTAGCTTACAAATTCAAAGTACTAAAAACTAAGTCATGCGGTATAACATGAATATTGAGGTTCAGTTTCTTGCTTGTTTTAAACTAAAGGTTGACTTCATAACTATTAAATCACATGAATGAAGTAGAGTTGAAAAAGAGAATCCAAATATCCATGAATACACCTCAAGGTTTATCTATCACCTGTGACATGCCCAGTATATATGTTTGCTTAGCTAACAAATATTCATTTTTTTTTTTCTATTCAAAAACAGAACCAAAAGGTTAAGTATGTGGACCTTGGAGGATCCTATGTTGGGCCAACTCAGAATCGTATTTTAAGATTAGCCAAGGAGCTAGGATTGGAGACCTACAAAGTGAATGAAGTAGAACGTTTAATCCACCATGTGAAGGTAAGCCTGCGGGTGAAAAATTTGAAGACATAGTCCCATATATGATTTCCAGATCATTTTCTCAGAGAATCTGCTGCATCTCTGAATGATGCATGTATATTTTATAAATATGTTTCAGTCATTCTGAAAATTTATTCACCCTTGTCAAAGGTAGATTAGGTGGGGATTCTAATCCTCTTTGGGAAGGTTATTAATGAGGTGGTGTCATCCATTTGCTAAAAATTTTAACAAAATCATTAGAGAAAAAATATTTGTGATTGATTTATTAAATACCTCTTTTTCTTTTTAAAGGGGTAATTTTTTTTCATTGTGATTTGGGTGAAAGTTTACAGAACAAATTCACTTTCCATACAGCAGTTCACATACACTTTGTCTCATGATATTGACTACAATTTACCACAATGCAACAGCTTCCCTCCCACTTCCTCCCCATAGTTACGTCTTCACTGTGCCCATCCCTCCATGCACTCCTGCTCCCTGAACTGTCTCCCTGTGCATACACAGCCCTTATATTCTCTCATGATTCTTTTCTCCAAGGAGTGTATCTATCTAGTGTAAATATTCACCTCATATGCCTGTTTTTTGTTTGGCTGGAAGCCACAGAAGTGGGTTCAATTCCAGACCTGAAGGGCAGCTAGGGGCCATAGTCAGTGGTTCCATCAGGCTCTATCAGACCAGCAAATCTGGTCCCTTTCCCCTCCCCCAAATGATTTTGAGTTTTGTTCCACATTGTTCTTATAAAGGGATAATTTTTAATGTTTACTATAGGTTACAACCCCCCCCCGTAAATAAATTAAATTAAATTAAAATACCTGGGGCTGTTTCATGTTGTATAAAAACTTGTGTACAGTTTTACAAATATTGCCATAGAATTCACATTTAATAAGTATTTACGATATGTCTAATGGAATGTTTCGAAAGTTTGTCATTGTGTCTCATGTACGAGCTAAGGTTACTGTTCTTTTGAAATTTACATGGAAGTGGCTCTAGTTCCAAATTCCATCTTTTGTGCAGGAGCTCCATTGATCTCCCCAAGATTTCTGTGAATGTAGGGGTCTCTAATTCCCATGACCATAGTTCTTATTTCCACTGACACCTATACTCATTCACATCTCATGTGCAAGAACTCTTTTTCTTCCTTTGCTCTATGCAAAACCAAGTTCAAAGTACACACCTTGTCTTGATTTTCTTCAGACCATTCAATGCATTTGTGTGCAGCAAATTTGACTGAAGTTTTGAACAACAGAGAGGTTTTATGTTGCAGAAACCCACACAACTTAGAACGAAATATTGGACAATCTAATTCTGGTAACCCTCTGGACCATTATGCCTCTCAGGATTTCTCACTGGCCACATTTCTCTATAAATTCCAGCTTCTTATCATGTTGCTGATCCTCACCCACACACCCCTCACATCTCTTTACTAATCTATTTTCCCACCACATTTGTCTTGGTCTAAAAAGTCACTAATGCTCTCTGATAAGCACAGGGTCACCTAATCTGGGTTCCACCCTGGAGTCTCACAGAAAACCGGCAGAGGTTTTGAATTTCAGTATATAATTTTTTTTTTCTCTCCTCATCACTTGTCTAGGTAGGTGGAAGAGAGTAGCATAGAGACATATTTTTCCACAGATAGAAACCATCCCCTTAGAAGACAGAAAAGACTAGCAACAATACTCAGGGTTTTCTTTTCTTTTTTTTTTTTTTAATTGTAAAACTGCACGTAACACATTTGCCAATTCAACATTTTTCAGGTGTACAATTCAATAAAATGAATTACATCAATCCTGTTATGCAACCAACTTCAATTTGATTTACATAGATATTTTGGCACCCTTATGTTATTTGTGGTAGGCCCTGGGTGGTACAAATGGTTAAAGTACTTGGCTGCTAACCCAAAAGGTTAGAAGTTCAGGTCAGTCATTGAAAGTTCTATGGAACACAGTTCTGTTCTAACATACATGTGGTCTCCATAAGTCAGAGTCAACACCATGACAGCTGGTAAATGGTAGTATTATTTAATGGTGATAATATCAAGAAGGACAAACAGATGATACCTTAAAGCAGAAAACAAACATCCACCCAATTTGGTGTAATATGGGTAAGATGTTTCCTAATTTATTAAGAAATACTTTGGTTGACCTTAAAATTTTGTTTTATAAGTCTTTCACTTTGCTTCCATATGTGTCTAAGCAGAAAGAGAAACCTATGAACTAGAAATAAAAGCTTAGCGTGGTGATACTGTGATTTATTGGACATAAATCAGCAGTGCTTACCAAATTTCTTTTGTTGGGTTCCTTGCTTTTAAGTTTAAATCATGTTGATCTATTTCTTACTATTTGCTTGTTTAACCTGTAAGACTTGTAGGGACAAACTTCCCAGAACACTAGGATCTGTTTTGCAAGTTTCTCCAGACAAAACAGGTAACTAGAGATTATATTCACTTTTCTGTCTATTGTTTGCTGGATTTCTCTTCAGTTCAGAGCTCTGCCCAAGACAAGTTGTTTTTCCATGTTAATCTTAGGGCTGACATTAAGTTCTTTGTTTGAAAAAGATTGTTTATAATCATCAACTGTAGAAATGGTGTTACACTTAAATGATTTTACTATATGTGCTGCTTTTTTAGGCCATTCCAAACAATAAATGTGTAGCTAAGAAAATACAAATAATAAAGCAATATCCTTAACTGTGATACAGATTAAATGCATATGCCAAAAGAGCTCTTTATAACATCTTAAATTAGAATAAATGCTATTGCTTTTAGTTATTACAAAAGTAAAGCATGTTTACCGTAAAAAGAAAATTTGTTAGAAGATAATGACAAAGAAAAGAATATTTTGAGCTCCTCTATAATCGTACCTAGAGAAAATCACTCTAAAATATTCTCTTGATTTATAGACTTTTATATTCCTGCATTGCTCTTTTCTGTCCTCTGGTGGAGGAAATGGGAAATATCAATGCACTTTAAACTATTGTGTACATATGCATATGTGTATATGTTATATGAAGTCCCTGGGTGGTGCACAGTTAACGTGCTCATCTGCTAACTAAAAGGTTGGTCATTCAAGTCCATCCACAGGTGCCTTGGAAGAAAAGCCTGGTGATCTGGTACTGGAAAATCAGCCCTTAAAAACTCTATGGAGCACAATTTTACTCTGACACACATGGCATCACCATACATCAGAATCAACTTCATAGCAACTGGCTGGCTGGCATATGTTATATTAGTAACTTACCAGTATTTTTAATTCTCATTTATGAAATGGGAGCTCTGATGGCATAGTGCCTAAGGCATTTGACTGCTAACCAGAAGGCTAGTGGTTCAAACCCATCAGCCACTCCTCAGAAGGAAGATTGGGCAATCTACTTCCACAGAGATACCACCTCAGAAACCCAAGGAGGCGTCACTATGAGTCGAAAAACACTCATTGGCAGTGAGCTTGCTATTTATGAAACAGAAGTTTTTGGAATATTAATAAAAGTGCTAATTTGGCATCTTTGTGGTCATACTCAATGAAGAATTATACAATTGTATACAATATACAATATATGATAAAGACTTTATAGCTATGAATTCCTCCTCAAATTACATACTTGTTCTCCACCATCATCACTACCACCATGTCTTTGGCCACATGTCATTTTTCTTATTTTAAGCCTGTAAAAATAATCTTGGATGGCTGTGTCCCTTTCTGGAATTATTGACAAGAACTCTGACATTCTACCTCTTACTACATGCCAGAGAATGTAGTTAAGAAATTTGTCTTCACTGTTATGATAATCAGTACTATGGGCACTTGAGCATCACCCTCTATTACTTCTTTTAGTAACTGCTCTCCTCCAGTCCAAATTATGACTTACTTCAGTTTCATGACCAGGAGCTTGAGAGCATCAACTATAATATTTTCCATATTTTCAGTCCTGTTATTCAAATCAGAGTCTCAGTCTCATCAATTCTTTCCTTGTCAGGAGCCCCAGGCTTTACTTTACTTGGTTCTGAGGGGTTCCTTGACTTGTAGACAGGTCCTCACATGTTATCTGTCTTCCTTGCATGTGTATCTCTGCATCTATTCTAGTCTCCCCACATCTCAGAAGTGATTAGATTTAGGATACACCCCCACACTGCTATGATTAGATTATATTAATCACATTATGGAAGATGATTGCATTACATTACATTACATGTGAGGTAATCACATTACGTTGTATTATATTATGGAAGGAATTACGCTGTACCCAAGACAAACTGATTTAATCAGTACCAACTATTTCATGGCAGCAAATACACTAGTGTTTGGCCAAACAACTGAAAACCATAGCCTAGTCAAGTTTACATATAAAGCTAAACATCACAAAGCTTTTACATTCCTGCTTTTTAAAATTTCTTTTATGGTCCTTAATGGAAGATACAGTTTTATGTGCAGCCTTAATAACATTAGACTAAGGAACTTGAACACACTGGTTGAAATTCAAACTGATAAAATGGATCTACCCCAAAAAGGGGAAGAATACATATTTCATGATAGGCTAACCACCCAAAGAAAGGGTATGTTTTCTCAAGAGAGAGTGACATCTAAACTCACCAGTTCTCTGGTAGCTGATAATTGAGACATGTTCACTGTAACAGCCATCCATAAATCTGAGACCTGTTCACCTCTATATTATCTCAGATATGTTGGAAAG